ATTAAGGAAAATGGTAGATTACTGATTCCACAATGTAATATTATTTGTATATATCTAGTATTTTGGTTTTTTTTAAAAATAGTGTCTCTACACTCTCATTCGGTCATAACATTGATTAAACTGAAGTCTCACTATTGTAAGCAGTACACTATTCTCATCAGGTAGGACATTTCCGTTCTATGAATGATATCATCCTTATCGTTCATATGGTATATGTAATAAGGCGGTGGAACACCTCTGCTTAACGAATGCCATAGAGTCATAAGCAAGATCGACGATTTCTGAAGATTCCTTCAAAAATTCCTAAAGATTTACTTTTGAAACTGTTTTCTGAAACATGGATCCCATTGTTTTTGATAATCTAACTGTGATAAAAACTTGAATCCGACTGTTTGTATTCTTACGGAGTAGTAAAATTGATCCAAAGGTACTAGGATACCTTTAAAGAAAAATTCATATATATGAATTCATCTTATCAATTATGTATCAATATTGGTTAAAATAAAGATGAAACGTTTTCAGTCAATTGCGGCCTTCTTCACTATTGATGATGAAATCATAGAACACCTACAATTTTTATCATCAATCAACTGAAATAAAATTCATCATTTTGACATTCTACATAAAAATTATCACAGATATTTGCTAGCGGCATAATGTTCTTTTTGATTTATTTTTAATTGGCATTTGTTATTCTCTTGTTCTTCTTCAAGTATCTGCAATTTGGAAAATTATACGATATAATCGTCATTGGAAGCAGCTGAATATTGTTAGCGGTCGAACATTCATATTATACATGAACATGATTGTCTTACGATTAAGCACATAAAGCGGACGATTCGAAGGAAAAAATTAGACGAGAGTAAAGTCAACGAACAATCACAAAAAAAAGAGAGATTGTTCTCTCTCTCTCTCGTTTTTTTTCTTTCTCTATGAACAAGTATTTTTCTCGTTCATTGACCGTCACGGCGATAAACAATAAGACTTTAAACAGTCATAGATTCAATTCATTTTATTTCAAAAAGAAACAACCAAGTTAACAACATGTATTCTAATGATTATCCAACAACTCGATCGATTGTAACTGACTATTTCGATTGGCGTTTAAAAAATAAAACAACAACAAATAATCGTTTATTTATAATCATACGTAAAATTGCTTCTGATTGTGAAACAAGTTATTGTTCTCGAGAACCAATATTTAACATTCATTTTTTATCATCAATAATCAATGTTCAAAATATTCATTATGAAGTAGCGACAGAAATATTTAATGATGGAACAATAACATGGGGTCGAATCATAACGTTTATTTCATTTTCAGCTTTACTAGCTGAATATTTTATACAACACCAACAACAACAAAATATTGATTTCATTATTTCATCAATTACTGATTGGACAACGAATTTTATTGATATAAATCTTCATACATGGCTTGAAAATCAAAATTATTGGGTAAATTTGTTATAACTATAATAAAATATTATTTTATATTTAAATAAATAAATATTTTTTTTTTTGCAAAGGTTGGATGTTTGAAGATTTATGATAAAATTCCACAACGACGAAATTCTATCAGTCGTTATGCAAGTATTCTTGGAACTATAGGCAAGTATATTTCAATATTTTAAGAAAATGACTTTTTTTACTCTGAGAACATACTGTTATGAACAATCGAGATGCATGAATCTTGATTCTCCCACCTACTGAGATAACGTGATAATAACAAACAAAACGTATATAGAAAATATCAGTGCTTTATCCAAAACTAATTATTTATGCTCAGCATGACATATTCATTTATATTTTAGGTATTCTCACATTTGGTGCATTGTATATGAGACGAACATGAATGTTATTGTTATGCTTTGTTTCGTTTTATAACAGTGATTTGACTTTTTTTATGATTATTGTTGTTGTACTTTTCTTTTGTTAAATATATAATTGAAATTTACATTTCTTCTTGACTTTTAATTTAATATGAAGATGATGACAGGTTTATATTATTGGAGAGAAATTTATCTTATGATGTGAGATGTCTATTTGAATAAAGACTATATAACTATGCATGGGAAGAAATGTTCGGTTGCTTTTTGTCTCTTAGAATAATGAAAATTGAATTAGTCGACGAATGAATCAATGGAAATTCGTGTCTTCTTGATTGCGGACATTATTCCTTCATTGGAGAAAAAAAATTATTCGTAAAGTAGAATTTGGTGAGAGGTAAGACAAAAGTGACCACACATAGGAAAATAAGTATATTATGAAAACATTCAAAAATAGATTTAATAAGTATATCAGAATAGGTCAATTGTGTCAAGAGTGAACATTAGTGTTTGAATCTTTTCTTCAATCACACTCACACTCTAAAACTAAAAACTTTGAGGTACTTTTATATATTTCATTAATGATTTTTTTCTGTATCGGTTTTTTCATATATAATTAATTTTGTCTTAATCCTAATATGCGGTCATCTCCCTTTAGTTGGCCCAAAAAGTGTCCACAATCAGAATTTAGTCTGGAGTTTAATGGAAATACATGTATGAAATAGAATATTATTAATGTATATTTGATAATAAAACATGAATGTTAATAATTCTTCAAAATTGCTTTAGGTTACCATTATTTTTATTGATCACTATAGAATAATTGATTTAATCAGATTGTTTTTGACTTATATTAAATATGTTGTTCATATGCATTGAACGAGCTGATCATTTGTATTAATTATAGATTTTATCTCGAATAAAAATAAACTATTTAAGGAAAGATGGAATATTTCTATTAATATCAACTTATATGTGAAGAAAATTCTCATTAATTTAGATGTATCAAGTGTCTGACGAGGAAAAATCCCTAACTGCCAAATAGCTATTTTCATTAAACCTAGTAGTCCATAGGTAACCAATTGTACTGATTCCGAAAATCAATACAATACTGACAGCTAGAATGCTAGAACTTATTTGCTGAAAAACCAGTTTTTCCCATTGAAATTTCTTTTTTGATCCGTTCAAATTGTACAACACGTCGATTTGACTATAAAACACTATTCTTTTTTTGTTTTTGATTGTGTCTAGGGAAGTCAAAAGGCAGCAGAACTTCTAATATTTGAACAATACTACTACTCGTATAATGCGATGCCTTCACAAATGAGCGTATATGAGTAAATGACCTTTGTTCATATTGGATGCATAGTCATGTGTAATATTCACTAACTAAAAGCTCATTTTCGTAATACATCACGTACACGTGATATCTCCTGTTCATTATTGAAATCAAGAAGTTTACAACCTTGTGTGCTTTCTCATAATAACTCTGGTATCATTCTCTGAGAATTGACGAGGGACATCTTCTCACTGTTTCATCGCTTTTTTACCTAATCAAGTGCGTTGGATCTGGTTGTACGAAACACATCCACGCCCAAACACTCTAAGTGCGAGTAATACTTATCGTTCAGACATAGTTCTTCGAAAAAGCGAGAAATAAAGGAGAACATTCTTTTTTTTGTAAAAATCAGAAGAGAAATTAAAAAAATTATGTTACCGGTGGTCTCAGTAAAGATTTCCAAACGAAAGAAAATGGTATTTTATAGCACAAATCGATGTGTTCCACAATCTGCACGGATGAAAAATACTTTTCTCGCTAGGAAAAACTGGTTTTCTAGAAAATTGATTTCTGGTATTATAGCTGTTGCTCTCATATCGATATTCGAATTCAACATGGTCGATTACCTATAATCTACTAGATTTGATGCAAAAAGTTATTAGACAATTAGGAACTTTTCTTCGTGAAAGTAATGATAAAGAGATACAAGATAGACTTTAAACTTCTTGTATTGCAACTGTCAAAGTCTCTAGAATACAACAGTTTTTTATAATTAAAATAGTTAGTTCTTAGAATCAAAATCTACTACATAGAAGCATTCGAATTAATTCTACAAGAACAATTCTAATTAGTCAAGATCTAAATGAAAATACTTAAAAAAAAATGTTTTATCTAACATTGTCCGTCACTGAAATCGTTTATCTTTCTTTTGAATATTTGAGTGATCATGAGTAGAACGATTTAAGAAAATGAATAAAATACGGAATTGAAAAACTTTAGGAAAATGTCTTGTAGTGAACTCCAGAAACTATCAATTAATCAAACAAAAAATCTTTTTTGTAATACTCGATCTCTATAACGATGAGCTACAAAATCGATAAGTTTGGAAAAAACTAAAAAGAAGTTCTTATTTCTTAAAATGCTTTCCTACCAACAGAGTAGATATGATGGAAACGTATTGTATTACATATAATGCTGATTAGCACTATTACTGATATTGTTGCCAATCGAAAGTTTCATAAAAGTTAAATAGATAAAACATGGTAAAACATAAAATCGCCACTAAGGAGTTTTTAGACAGTTAAAACTCTAGTTTTGTACGGATGTGAATTTTTTTTTTGTTACACACACTTATATCCTGCTATCGTAAACGAGAGTACCTGATCGATCAGTTCTTACTGCTGACATACATTTTTTCTTTGAACAACAAGAAAAATCGACCATGATCGGCTGTATATTGTTGAAAGATAAACTCCGATCTCTGGCGACAGACTTAAGAGTTCAGATTCTATATAAATTTTTTAAGCCTTTCCTCTGACAAAGATAAAGTAATATGGATTACTTGTTTATCGTGATAATAGCTTTTTTTTTAATAAAAACATCTATTGATCAAATGGATTTGCTTTAAAAAGCATGCATAAATTAAGATATCAGTATGATGCATTTTTTTCTTCATGAAAAAGAAAAGATTATAATATAAATGCAATGACGCCCTATTTTTTGTTATTATGTTATCTTTTTGTCTTCTAGAACAAGAGAAGGTTTTTAACATCTATTTGTCTTTATTCTTATCTTTTCCACTAAGCATTGATAAAACTCCAACTTTCATAATATTCACATTGGTTAAACTTTCTGTTAACTTATTTGTGCATCAAGTTTGAAACAACACTGACATGGGATCTGGTGCCAGTCGGAGGGAACAAGAAAGATCTATATCTAAAAATTCACAACGAACAGCAGCTTCATCAAATAGTGACCGTGAAGGTGAACCGGACTCACCAAATTTAGATGCATTAGATGATTCAGAAGAAGAACAACTCAAACGAAATGAAGTACGTTCAAATACAACTCCCGATCCATCACGTGGTGTTACAAGCACAACAAATGCTAATCGCAAAAGATCATCGCTTATTAGTGACCAATCACGAACGAGTCATAATTCACCATCGTCAGTTCAAAATAACCCCACAGCAATGCAAACTAAAACAGCACATGGTGGGCAAATGAATGCTTCATCCAACAGTATGAAACGTCAGGATTATTGTATGTATATCTAGTTGATATTTTAAGAATTTATCTTTCGATATATATTTATTAGCTAACCAACAGAATAGTGACACTGACGACGATTCTAGAAAATCCAGAGGTAATACCAATGGTTTGCGAAGAATCCCCAACGAAACTGCAAGATCAGAATTATCGGTACATTCAGGAAAACGTTCAACTTCATCCAAAAAGAACAATAAAAACGTAGACAGACCAACTTCCACAATACCGATTCAAAAAATCAGCCAGCCTTACTTGTGTCCTCATTGCCACCAAAACATGCCAAACAATATCAATAAATTGGAAGATCAACAACCATTATGGATAATACATGGTGCTCATACAGATGATGCCCATATCAATATGGATGAGTACGATGAAGAAAGTATGCAGGAAAAGATTAATTCAAAACATGGCCGTCTTCCAGGTCATTATTATTATTCTGATGATGATGCACCATCAAATGACTATCCTAAACAAATTTCCCTTTCTAAATATGGATCAGTTATTTCACCAACACATACACCTTACCCAAATTATGATCTATTACAACGTCATGCGTATCGTCTAAATAAACCTTTTACAGCAACATTATACAGTGGCTAAATTCCCTTTTCTTTTCGAATTCTTTATTCACATATGTTTTCATTCTTATTTACACCTTTTTTTCTTTATTCATGTATTCTTCATAAATAAATAAGAGGAACAAGATGAGATAACAACATCAGCAATATCGATGTAAGAAGATAAATAATATATTTATGAATATGTTCTAAAAATAATAGTCGTCCATTTACATAAGAAAAATATTAACGATGTATACATATTTATTTCTTGTCTTTTCTTCAAAAGAAAAAACAACTTATATTTAGAATGAATGATTATACGTGAATAAAATTTCAAATTAATCTTATGTTTTATATACTAGTAATCTTTTATCAACTGGCAGTACTTAGTCCTATTAATTATCGATCCTTTATCTTTTATTTTTATGTGAAAATTCGTTCTTGCTTAGCTTCTTAGTTTTTCTTTTGCAATGAAATATTTTTTTCTCGTAGCGCGTTAAGTATTCGCTCCCGAATAGAAGTTGATTATTATAGATAAACGTGCAGTTTTTGTCATTTAACTTCTTGCGTTGTCAATGTAATTTTTTGTCTTTTAGTTTGCAAAAGAAAAGAGAAAGATAACGATTTATTTTCTATATAGCAACATGTAGTAATAAGTGAAGAGTGAACCATTCTCTAAGTACTAACAAGAAACAAAATATATACATAACGTGTGAGTCAGATTAAATGGACCTCTCAGTATTTTGACTATAACTTTTTTTCTTTTTGGTCTTTAGAGCTAATTGTTTTTTCAAAAGATGCGCCGTGAAATTCTCTGTAAAATCATAATCAAACTTATTTGTGTAGAAAGTTAAAGAAAAAAATTAAACGAAGATTATCCGACACATTAAAAGTACCCCACTTTCAAAGCTAACCGGTGTTTGCATCTCTTTTTTTTTATCGTTAAGTACGTCTATTTTAAAAACAAAGTATACCATAAGACGTAGCGTAAAAAGTTCTATAAGTTACACTGAAAACCTTATTTTATATATGCACTCTTTGTTTTCAAAATGGACAAAATTCTGTCCGACCAATTTTCGACGCTGCGAACAAGATCAGTTTTTGCTATACTACGAATTCATTTTTTCTTATTTCATCTTTTTATCGCCTAATATGTTGTATTAAAAGAAAAGAAAATATACTACAATATGGAGCGTGAAAAGCTCTACAATCTATAACGAACAGTTGATTTTATATATATGCATCTTTTGTTTTTATAATAAGCAAAGCTGTGTGCGACCAAAAATGATCTTGTTCGCCGCCTCGAAAATTAGTCGCATAGAATTTTGTCCATTTTGAAAACAAAGAGTGCTTGCATAAAATAAGGTTTTTAATGTAACTTGTAGAGCTTTTCACGTTGTACCTTATGGTATACTTTACTTTTAAAATAATGTGCTTGGCGATAGAAAAAAGAGACACAAACATCGGACACTTATGAGACATCCGTCAGCTTTGAAAGTTGGGTACTTTTAATGTGTCGGATAATCTTCGTTTGATTATGATTTTACAGAGAATTTCACGGCGCATCTTTTGAAAAAACAATTAGCTCTAAAAACGAAAAAAAAAGTTATAGTCAAAATACTGAGAGGTCCATTTAATCTGACTCACCCGTTATATATGTTAGCGGCTAAATTGAAATTATCTCTAATGTCGGATCCGAGACTGAATACATCCAATATCAGATCGGGAGCAATGGTATTTCAGTTAATATAATTATCAATGAACGAGTTTCGTAAGGATTCGAACGGTTACTGACAGTTTTCTATTGAAGTAGTTCTTGTGCATAAAATTGTTCGTACATATCTCATAACTTTCATTATGGCAAACCCTTTAAAATGAACTGTGCACTCTCTATACTCAATCTTGATATGGACTTGACATCACAAGTATTCATCGTCTTCATGATACTTCTACGCGTGAATCTATGCATAAGCATTCATTGAATACTTATAGAAACAATAGAATCATGAGGTACAGCATCGTTCTCTCAACGTGCATTTTATGACATGTATTGTCTATGATCCAGTGCATCATATTGATTTTGTGACTTGTTTACACATATCCCTTGCTTTTTTAGTATATTATCAAGTGATTTCTGTGTCATTTAATCCATAAGAGAAAATCAGAGATTAGATAAGAATTTTATGAATAATGTACGATTAAATTTATTGAAGTAACTAATTTTACTAAAATAATACAGTAAATGCTACGAAAAATTTATTATTAATAATACACATGGAAACAACTGTTGTCAAACATTACAAAAAAATACACTGATATCAAATTTTGGAAGATTGTCTGTATTTAATCAATTATCTATATGTAAAATATTGAAAGAAAAAATTTATAGCCATAAAAACCAAAGATTTCTTATTAACAATTGCATGATTGGAATTTGGTGAAAATGAAACTTAGTCTTTTCATTTATTTTGTCATTGAAGAAAACCATTGAATCACTCAAAATATTAAAAAAATGTTTAACTAAGATAAATATTATGTCGACATATTTTGATAGACTTACGGTTGCTATGTTAGCTTATCTACTACAGTTTACGCTAGAAACGCATACACATCAAATGTCTTATGAATCAAACTGTATGCGAGATCACTTCTTATCTAGAATTTAAGATTGAATAATATTTCTACAGTTTGGTAAAAAGAATCGAATCAATTCAAGAATAAATATTTTCATGTATCTCTAGTCATACGAAAAAAATCCAAAAAGCGTTGAAAAGATGTCGTTAATTTTGTTTTTTCGTCTTGAAGACAGCTTCTAACAGAAATAAATGATTTATGTTTCTATTGTATCTTGCATTTCTATTTGTAATATGACGTGTCATCAAAATCTTACAACGATTTTACCGATTTATCTTTTCATGATGTATGTGAGTTTGTGCAAGGTTAGCCATTTCATCATTAATGATTATAGTTTTTTCACCGAATAGTTCCATTGCCTGCTACTGGAATATTTATCAGTTTTTTTTTCGATATTGTTAATGTTTCATTCTATCTCAATATTGAATCGCTTTTTTGTACGCTGCCTCTGTTTGAATACTTAGATAGAAATTCATCGCAGCATATTTCACTTACGAGGAAACTATCCGAACTGATACTCACTGTTTAAGCTCATATTCAGTTCACAAGAAGGATTCAGTAAGACAAAAAAAAACCTAAAAGAATTCGTGCTCATGAATCTCTGGAGACTAGTTATGACCATTTTACTGAGTTTTCAATTTAGCTTTAGGTATTTACCGAAAAATTAAATAAAAGTATTTTGATTTGAAATTTCATTCCAAAACAGATCGAATGACTAAGTAGTAGAGTACTTCTTTGTTGAGATATTGAATCTTCAAGTAAAATCGATTTTTGTGGTATATCTGTAGCAAATGACCATTTCTTTGGAAATTCAATATTTGACAAAGGGACATTCATTTCGGCTGAAACTTTCGAAATATTCTACTAGTCATTTGGTCTGTTTATAGATGGAATTTCAGATTGAAATTTCTTTATTTGATCTTTTGGTAAACATCTAAAGCTGAATGAAAAATTCAATAAAGCAGTCATAATTCGGCTTTAGAGATCGATGAGGACAATTCTTCTTAGCATTTTTCTTAGTCTTACTAGAATTTTCTTGTAAACTCAATATAAACTCAAATGGCGAAAGCAGTTCGGGTAGTTCCTTCGTTAGGTGGAAGAAAGTAAAACTGATTGTTGTATGCGACCGCTTATCTTCATGACAACTGTATGAATGAGTCTAGATTTTCGAAGGTAGAAAAAAAGTTGGGCGCAGTTAGCTTGGTATTTGACTTTTTCGTTTGTTCAAGTTAGGAAAACTGGTTTTTAAGACGAACATCTTCGGTTTACTAATCATAATCTGTTGTCTCTTTTTCCTTGTGTATTGCATCCTAATCTTTGCTCTATTGAAGTGCATTATATCTTCTAAGTTTTATTGTTTTTGGTTTTGGTCAGTAGCTTGAATTTCTGAAAATATAAGCAAAAAAAAGACTTCAGATTTAGAATAGATAATAGATCTATATTTTATATAATTTGTTGGCTATTATATCAGTTCAGATAGTTCATTTCTTCAATTATAAAGCAAGACAACAGTGGTAAAGTGTCTTCTCTTAATTTTGTAACACTACATATGAAACCATTTGTTTCTACATCGAACTTATTACTATAGCTAGTTCGTACATGTTTATGAATACAAGCAAAAAACATTAGATAATGCTTAACTTCATCTGTCGATATTGAAGAGACCCTATCTCGTATGAAGTCTTCATCCAATCAAAAGCTAGTAGTTTGTTGTTACACATTATAATGATCGCCATAATGTGCTAATAGCAATTGAATATTGACACTTCTTGACAAATCAGGTTTGGATTTATATACACTTATGAATGAAAAATAGAAAGAATTATTCTTCAACTGCACGAAGAGATAAACGAAGAAGTCATTAATGTTCAGTCATGTATTTAACACACAACTAGTTGTACATAGAAGCATTTTCTTTTTAACCATTTAGTGAGTTATGTATAGTCTTAAAAAATAGATCAAAAAAAAAATAAACGGTAAAGTTGATTGCTAATGATTGCCGCTACTGCTGTTAGTTGAGTTTCAACAATTCGTAACTGCGTCTCAGGAAAACATGACGCTTTTCGCTTATTTATTTGGCTTTACAGCAAAAATTTCTGTCAAAAGTTTAGTTGACAAATTGGTCGAACAATATTCTATCAAGATATTGCCAAAGCTGTATGATGTTATTGCTCAATATTCGAATACTTTTATTGTTTTACTGGCTTTAGTATGAGAATGACTACTTTTTTCTAAAATAATAAATTGTCGTTTTATAAAAGTTATCGAATGAGATACTATGAAAATCAAAAATTTTGCTATGTAAGTAATGGTTTTCTTTCGTTAACTATCTATGAATGTATCATAAAAGTAAATCTTTTATATTTTAAAAGAAGAAAACTTGTTACAGCATATGACTGTTGTAGA